TTTTGAAGTATATTTTTTCAGTGTCGATACGTAGGCTTCTACAAAGTCTTCTACATGCTTGCAGAACACTGGGTGTGAGCGTACCGAGATCTGTCTGGTGTGAGCGTACCGTGATCTGTCTGGCCATTTCCCTGTCGTTCCATGTTTACTTTAATTCAGCCACAAATAACCTGCAACTGAGCACCCTGTAAGCATTTGAAGATACCTTGATTGCTGTTTTGGGATTTGTGTCTGGAAGATCGGCCTGGACTGACCTCCATGTGGACGTGTGTGAACTTCCCCTCATTTGAAAGGAGACCTCTACTTCCTGGGGAGAATGTGTACTTTTCTTTCCTTCTTTCTTTTCTTTACTTTTACTTTTCTTTTTTTTTGTTTTGTTTTGTTTTGTTTTTTGAGACAGGGTCTCACTCTGTAAGGCAGACTTGTCCTTGAAGTCACTATGTAGCCCAGGCGCCTTGAACTCAAGGCGATCCTCCTGCCTCAGCCTCTGAAGCGCTGGGATTACAGGTGTGTGCCGCCATACCCAGCTTAATGTATACTTGTGTGTACATAAATGTGTAGCTGGTATTCTTCAAGCAACTGCGGCCACTCTAGAGAACTTGAAGCTTGGTGCTTTCTCTCAACAGAACTGCAGACTACGATCTTGAAGAATAGATTGGATAATGGTATTTGAACACATTTTTCCAAGCAACTAGCTTACGATAAAAATTAAATGTGAAATCATCTTCTCTCCAGGATCCACAGAAGTTTCCCGATATCCCAGAACAGTACACGAGTGCCCTGGAAGATTTCCCCATAGTCACACCCCGAGGGCTTCAGATGTTCCAGGTGGGTCCGCCTGCGCCTCCAGCTGTGTGCGCCCGCGTCTCCCTCTGACACCTGTGTGCTCATTGCCGCGAGGACAGACGCGGCAAGTGCCCCGCTGTCTCCTGGCTGGCTTGTCTCGGCCTCTTTGCTTCCCTTGGGGTGACACGGAATGGGGCTCTGCACCCCCCTCTCACGGCTTTCAGTTTCTCATCCCGCATTTCCTCCTCATCTTGGCCAGCGTCCGTCCTTTCCAACAGTGTCTGTTTCTTTTGGCAGAAAGGGGTTGGATTTTAACCAAAATACACCGCTGACTGCAGCACTCGGTGGATGTTTGTAACCTGCACTCACAGATATGGGGCTATACTGCCTAGACCAGCGATGGCGAACCTTTTAGAGACCGGGTGTCCAAACTGCAACCCAAAACCCACTTATTTATTACGAAGTGCCAGCCCTGCAATTAAACCTGAATACCGAAGGTTTTAGTCTAGAAAAAACAGCTGCTATCCAATGCTCAGTTGCTGGGACAAGTTGACTGGTGTGCCAACCGGCTCTGTGTGCCCGCCGCAGCACGCCTGCCATAGGTTCACCATCACTGGCCTACAGTGGTTCCCGACTTGTGAGAAACCCACATATATCAGACCGGTTTTCAGGGCAGGAAACTCCTGGCATAAAATAACTTGCTCTGTTTGTTGCCAGTGTGTGGACCCCCGCCAGCCCCTACAAGACTCAGTCGGGTACCCAGTCATGCACCAGGCAGGCCTCAAGCACGCCACGGGGGAAGCAGTATTCGTGGACGACATGCCCCCCGTGGGCCAGGAGCTCTTCCTCGCCGTGGTCACCAGCACCAGGGCCCACGCCAAGATCATGTAAGGAGACGAAGGTGTCCTCGGTGCTGCCCACGGGGTTTCAGTCTCACATTCACGCCGAAGCTGTTCCGTAAGCGCTCAATGTAGAAGCTCCATCTCCGTGTTTCTCAGCAAGCATGGCGTTCACACATGTGTGCTCATTTAGAATCACATGTCCTCTTCAGGGTGAGGGCTGTTCACTTCATACACAGAGCCATAAAACAATCGGTGGCCCAGAGCGAGAATACTCGTGCTCCTCAGCGCGGGCCCTGCCTCGGGATAGTTCCCGCTCCCGCTGCAGTGCATGGAGAATCACTCACACGGTGCCCCGAGCTCACCCCCAGCCGCAAGCTCCACACCTTTGGGTTTTCCCTCCTAGATCCATCGACACTGCAGAAGCCCTGGCACTCCCGGGAGTGGTCTCGGTGATAACAGCGGAGGATGTTCCCGGGGAAAACCACCACAACGGAGAGATTCTCTACGCGCAGGGTGAGGTGTGTGCCTCGTGCCCGGCTCATTATCCAAGCTGCTGGGAGCGCGGCGTGAGAACTGCTGCTGCACTGGCCCACTGCTTCATGTCTACATCACAAAGTCTTGCTGGGGTCAAGGGACCCCAGCTCCGTGATCCTCCATACCGCTCCTAAGCCACGGATCTGCCTGAGTCCGATGAAGCCCTAAGTCCTCTGAGGAAGGTTCTAGACCACGTGACAGCCAAGGGCACAGCAGAGCACCCAGGACCCCAAAGGAAGGCGGGTCCCTGTTGACTGTGTCCGGTGCCGCTGGGTGCAGAGCCTGCGGGCGCAGGAGGCAGAGGTCCTCACCCCGTGACTAAGCTCCGCACCCAGTCTTCCTGCCCCAGCCCCGGGCCTATTTCAGATCCATTCTCAGAGCAGAAAATCGACTTCCTTCCGGCCACAGAGCCCTCTGCTAAACACGCGCCAGTGGGACGAGCTGGTCCTCGCTGGTGGTGGCGTTAGGCTTGCTCACAGCCTGTGGCTTCCCCCAGGTGATCTGCGTGGGTCAGATCGTGTGCACCGTGGCCGCCGACACCCACGCTCATGCCAGGGAGGCAGCCAGGAAGGTGAAGATCGAGTACGAGGACATAGAGCCCAGGATCATCACGATCGAGGTATTCAGCGCCTGGCGGCCAGCACAAGGGGGCAACGTGGGCCGGCGCAGGGTGAGCGGCTCAGCAGGGCCTCCGAGCATCTCAGAGCAGGGCTCTGCAGTCTGCACCGAGACAGAGCACTGAGGCCCTTCCTGCCCGAACCCCCTGCCCGAGCGCTTCCCAGGGCCTGTGCAAATGCAGCCCACTGCGCCAGCCCTGCGGCCTCCAGCCAAGGCCAAGAGCAGAGATAGAAGCAGAGAAAGGTCCTCAGGCCGGGAAGCCTGGTGTGTGGAGCTCATCCGAGTGGTGAGCGCTGCGGTGTCAGCGTGGGGGCCTCTGCCTCCTGCGCACTCGCTGCCCTCCCTCAAGCTCCGAGACACAGCACGCAGTGCAACTGTGCACCGCTCCAGGCTCTTACACCAGTAGGCTTTGGCAAGGTACAGAAGTGCCTGTGCCTCAGTTTGCGAGTCCGTAAAGTGGGAGCACAAAGGATCCACACACGAAGGTCATGGTGAGGGTTAAGTGAGAGAAGCCAAGTACAGAGCTTGACCAGCCCTGGCGCAGGGGCGCGTTAGCAAGCGCGGGCCATGTCGCCGCCGCCGCCGCCGCTGGGCAAGGCTGGGCCGCTGCGTCCGTGTCTCAGGTGCCCGGCACACTGCTACACGCACAGTGGTGCCGGGTCATCGTGCTGCACGAGGGGAGGGCAGCAGGGAGAGGGGGCAAGCAGGTGCATGAGGAGGAGGCTGCCTCCTCTTTAGGGTTAGGTTACGCCAGCCCGGCCATGGGCATCCGGGCCTCGTGGGCTCATCCTTCTTGCCCTCTCTTTCCTCTGTCTCCTCACCCCAGAGGTGGCATCCTACTACCACAGAGAGGCAGGGCGGGTCACTCACCCCGCGTCCCTCGGCTTGAAGAGAATGAATGAGCAGCACAACCCCCACCCCCCCAGCGCTGGTTCTTCGCCGGCTCCCGTTCTCCAGTGTGTGGAGATCCCATAGCAAGCGCCCAGCGTCCTATGGGGACAAGTGTCTTCTTAGAAGGCAAAAAAGTGACTATTTTGTTCTGGTTTGCTTGTTTTCCCCTGCAGCAAGCCCTAGAGCACAGCTCGTTTCTTTCTCCTGAGAGGAAAATTGAGCAGGGAGACGTGGAGCGGGCCTTCAGACACGTGGACCAGATCATCGAAGGTGAGTGCAGCGCCCGGCCGAGAGGAAGCGCTTCTGGGGGAAGGCTGGTTTCAGACGCCTAGTCCGGGGTCAGGTGAGACGCGGGGGGTTGTGTGCTGCTAGGTGGGTTTCTGTAGCTATAGCAACTGGCACGGTCCCACCCACAGCGAGACACAGGATGGCTTCACACCACAGAGCTCCACCCCGGCCAGCCCTTCCTCTCCAGAGCGTTCTCTGGACTCCCGCTGCAGGTTAGCGGCACCTAACTTTAGCCGCTGCGGGCTCCTCTCGCCGGTTTCGAACATCCTGTTAAGATGAATCTTACAGTGTAGCCTTCCCATCCCTGTCTCTTAACAGTCTGTGTGGAAGGGCCGTCCGTCCGCCATCTCCTAGATCTGCAGCCCTTTGCCTTAGTCAGCAGTACCCACTGCACACAAATGCCATAGTTTTTACCTCTCCTTTCTGCTGATGGTGGATGTTTCCGTTGTTGCCGGTTTGGTGCTATTCTGAATAAAGTTTCTGTATACACCGTGCTTGTCCTTTAGAGAATGTAGCTGTTCTTTCTAATGAAATATACCCAAATATTTTTAAATAATAATAAAGTTCATATGAATGTATTCCCGCTAGCAGTTAAGGGAATTCCGTTGACATTACTAGGCTTTCAGTTTTATCTAGTCTGATGGGCGTTGTCTTTTTCCTTTCTCATGGCTGGGACACAATTTCCAATACCCACAACTACAAGGAGGAGAGAGGGGTTTGGGCTCCCTGTCTGCAGAGGTTTCAGTCTGTAGCTGGCTGGCTCCAAGGTAGGGCAGCACGGCAGACAGGAAACAGTCCACGGCAGGGCAGACATGAAGCAGAAAGGAATCCAGGGAGGAGGAGGGAGACAGACGCTTCCAAGCCGCCCCCAGCCACCGCCTCCTCCCCCCAGGCTCCACCTCCCAACATCACATTTCACGGACCACTTCACTGATGAGTATCACACTCCCGTGGCCCAGTCACCTCCCCGGGGCCCCACCAAGCAGTGCCTGAGGACTTGAGGGTACTCTAGAGATAAACCACAACAGGTGTGGGGCCTTGTTGTAGTTTTAATTGGATTTCTTTAATTAAATGACTGCCGATGGGAAACACTTTTCATTTTCAGTCTCACCTAAAGGGCAGCAGATTGCCGCAGTGTCACTTGGGATCTTTGCCACCAGAACGCTGGCAATTGTGAGAGTTCACACTATTGACCACAGTGGGAAGGCTGAGTCATGCTGAGTCCAGGCAGGAATGACAGAGAGTCTCAGGCGTTCATCGTGGAGAGAGGGTGCGGTGCAATAGTTAAGAGTGTGGATCTTGAGGTCAGGTTACCCAGGCCTGAGTCCCAGCCCTGCTGCTCACTTTCTGCGTGACCTTGGGCAGCCAGCTCACCCTTCACTGGTCCCAGCTCCCCCATCTGGCCTGTTGGAGGCAATGGAGTAGCCTCCTCAGTCTGGTGTAAGGGTTAAATTGTCTTAGAGTGCTAAGCTTTAGAAAATTATCTAACATATCATAAAAACTATATAATTCTTAAGTAAATAAATTTGGGCTTTAAAATATGCCGCTCTAGCGTAAGGATTATTTTGACCTAAAGGTGAGTGAGAAATAGCAGACACAGGAAAAGGCTACCTTTCCCCTCTTTATCTAAAAGAGAACAAGCTGGGTGTGAGGGTGCTCACCTGTCATCCCAACACCTTGGGAGGCTGAGGCAGCAGGACTGTAAGGTGGAACTCAGCTGACGTAACTTCGTGACCCAGCAAGACTGTCTCAAAATGAAAAATAAAAAAAGTTGGGGATGTAGCTGAGTGAAAGTCCCTGACTCGATCTCCTGTACCACAAGATACATAGATGGATAGACAGATGATGGGTAGATAGATAGATGATAGCTAGATAGATAGACAGATAGATAGACGGACGATAGAGATGGTTCCCCTGTGAAGGTGCCACTTTTCCCATACCTGGAAGGGCAGAGAAGAGACAACGCTAGACAGCCACCAGCCCAGAGAGAGTTCTGAGAGGAATCTGGGTAACAAATCTTACTCAGCTGAACCACATCCTCTTTTATTCCCCCCCCATACAACTATCTTTCCTCAATTAACCACTCCAGAAGCTCAAAACATTTTATCTATCATTGCTCAAAAAATATACTACCTCTTGTTAAAATGGCACACAAATTTTCAGACCTTAGGGTTTTTCTTTTCATTTTGGGGAGAAGTAAAATGGAATAAAATTTTCCTCCTGTTTAAAAAAATTTAAGTAAAAAAAATTATTTTGCTTTTAGGCTGGGTATATAGCACAAGCATATAATCCCAGCTACTAAGGAGGCTGAGCCGGGAGAATTGCAAGCTTGAGCCCAGACCGGGCCACTTAGTGAGAACTTCTCTCAGAATAAAAAACGGGGACAGAATAAAAAAGAGGGGCTGGGGGCACAGCTCAATGCAAGACCCCGGGTTCACTCTCCAGTGCTGGAAATTGGTTAACTAGAGTTTAGATTAAATTGAGCATGTATTTTTGAGGGGCTGGGGTGTCAGCATGGTTCACACTCTATTACCTCTAGAAATAACTGACTCTGACTATGACTTTGGCAGAGCAGTTCACTTATTCTAGTAGGTCCTCCAGGGAACTAGAGAGCAAGGCTGTCTTCCAGCATTTAAGCGAGGGCCGCGCCCTCCGCGTGCAGCTCAGGCGGTGTGAGTGTGCAAGTGAGCGGCCACTCTGAGCCACTGCTGTGCCCCCAGGCGAGGTGCACGTGGAGGGCCAGGAGCACTTCTACATGGAGACGCAGACCATCCTGGCCGTCCCGAGGGAGGAGGACAAGGAGATGGTGCTGCACCTGGGCACCCAGTATCCCACCCACGTGCAGGTAACGGGCGCAGAGAGGGCGCGGGCGCGGTGCACAGGGTGGGCGCAGCCCTCAAAGTGACCTGGGAGTGACGCCGCTGCCCCGGAGCATGAGACCGGGCCCCCGCCCCTGTAACGACCGAGTGTGCGCTCGGCCTCGGGAGGGCATATGTCACGTGGCTCTGGGCTCTGTGGTGAGGCCCGTGCCAAGGCCACTGGGTCTCCTGGGTACAAGCCGGCAGCCCCACTGCAGGCTCCCCCAGGGCGTGAGCCTGGGTCCCGTCCTGGCCACCACCCAGAGCCAGAGCAGCGGCTCCCTGGAGAATGGAGCCAAACTCTCCAAAGACCCAGTGAGCACAGAGCAGAAGGGATGCCGCCTCACGCCCTCCAGAGCGGCTGACACCCAAGCACAGACGACGGCCGTGTGGACAAAGACAGAGAGAAGCTGGACCTCCAGACCCGGCGGAGGGTGGGGAGCGCGGGGAGCATCTCTTCAGGCAGGTGGAGAGGCGGCCATTAACTCAGCAGCTCCTCAACTGCGTCCCTACCCAGAGACAGGAAGGCTCTCCATGTGAAGACCTCTGCATGGAGCTCACACAGCTGCACTCAGAAGAGCCAAGGTGGAGACAGCTCTTGTTCATCAACTGAAGAACAGACAGAGGCAGGCACATCCACACAGTGGAATATTACCTGGCCATGAACAGCAGTGTACATGCCATAACAGAAATTACCTTGCAAGCATTACGCTGTGAAAAAAGCCAGCGCCAAAGACTACTTGTTGTATAATTCCTTTTCCTTGAAACGTCCAGAACAGCCAGATCTGTAGGGATAGGACGTAGAGCTGCACCCAGGGCTGGGAGGAGGCGGGACGAGGGGCCAGGTTTCTTTGGGGTTGCCGGGATGCTCTAAGACCAGATCCTGGATACTTGCACCGCTGGGTAAGCAGCAGTGTGCGTTGGGCGCTGGGTCCCTTTCCGCCGTGTGGAGGGGCAGAACGTCAGGGAGAGCTCAGCCACCAGGCTGCACTCAGGCCTCGGGGCTCCTCTTGCAGGAGTTCGTGGCCGCAGCTCTGAACATCCCGAGGAGCAGAGTCGCCTGCCACATGCGGAGAGCTGGAGGGGCGTTTGGGGGCAAGGTGACCAAGCCGGCTCTGCTGGGTGCTGTCGCCGCTGTAGCTGCCAACAAGTAAGAGTTACAGCGCCCATGGGCCTCGCAGCAGGCCGTGCCGCCTCACAGACCCTGTCACGCGTCAACCCACGGCCCTGCCTGCCTGGCAGCTCTCCCTCTGAACCTATCCGTCCCTCTGCCTCTCGCGGAACCTATGGCTTCCAAAGTCCCCCTCGATGAGTGCAACTGGCCCCAGGTCACCGCTCATGGGCAGGGACGTGGGTCACATCTAGCGCAGAGAGCTGGTGTGCAGCAGGCTTGTGGGCTGGGACTGTCCACGGGGACCAGCATCTTTGGAACAGATTTGGCGGAAGCAGAGTCCGGGCATGAGGGGAGGGCTGGGGTCAAGCTCTCTGCCCCGCATCCCCTGGTGGCAGTATTTGGGTGTCTCCCTTACTACCTCAAAGTGAATTCATAAATCCAAATCCTACTCGTAAATCTACACTTCATTGCAAAGTGATCGTACAGCTCCCAATGCAGTACAAACAAGAAAGAAGGGGGAAATCATCCCAACCAAACAACGCATCGGTGGCCCATGGGAATTCAGGTGTGACTGAGTGGAAAATGCAGGTGTTAACTTTAGCACCGCTACACCTCCGGTGCTGTGTAAGCTTTGTTACTACCTGTGAGGACCACTCAGCTGAATCACCTCGGCCCTGCCCCACCCCATGTTTCTGAGACTTCCTGGCGATTCCCGCTCATGAGCACATTTCCTGCAGGACTGGCCGCCCCATCCGGTTCGTCCTGGAGCGTGGGGATGACATGCTGATCACCGCTGGCCGCCACCCGCTCCTCGGAAGGTACAAGGTGCGTGAGAACCAAGCGACCGGCAGATGTGCGGACGCTGTCCTGCACTGACCGCGGCGGAGACGGCTGCTGGGCCCCACCCCTCTCAGAAGGACCCCTGGGTGCTGCCTAAAACTCCCCGTCAACTTGGGCGCCGCCTGTGATGTTCCCACAGGGACCGCCACGTCGGCCACAGGCACCGGCCGGGTGTGGCTCAACACCAGGGACCCGCGTGTGGCGGCTCAGGGAGGGCTGTGGGGAAAGCACCGTCCGTGCTCCCTCCGCAGGTCGGGTTCATGAAGAACGGGCTGATCAAGGCTGCAGACGTGGAGTTCTACGTCAACGGCGGCTGCACACCGGACGAGTCCCAGCTAGTGAGCAAGAACCCTCCCTCCTGTGCCGCCTGCAGCGGCCTGAACCACTTACGGATCAGCCAGTGGCGGTGAAGGGTTTAGGTTAGAAACAAAATCCAGCTAAGTGGTTCTGAGTTGGACAGACGTGAAGTCGTATTGCTTTGCTTCTGTGCAGGTGGTGGAGTACGTTGTGCTGAAATCGGAAAACGCGTATTACATCCCTAACTTCCGGTGCCGGGGCAGGGCTTGCAGAACAAACCTACCGTCCAACACGGCCTTCCGGGGCTTCGGCTTCCCCCAGGCCACCGTGGTGGTGGAGGCTTACGTGACCGCGGTGGCCTCCCACTGTGACCTGCTCCCTGAAGAGGTGAATGTTCGGGCCCTGGAGAAAATGCCACAGCCCCTGCCAAGGGCACGGGCAGCCCAGTGTGGGCTCAGAGAAGAACCGCCCTGGCCACTGCCGTAGGCGGCCATAGAAAGTGGGCCATGCCAGGGGGCTGAAGAGGCGACATTTTTCCCACCTTTCCAAGGGTTCACAGCTCCACTCTGGAGCTCTCTGGTCCCGGGCGGCCTGGCTGCCTGTCCAGGGATCATCGGCAGGAAGGCTTGAGGTCAGAGCCCCAGCCCCAAGGCCAGCGGGGTCCCAGGCACAGCGGGAACATGGCAAGGCCTGAGCCACCGGGCCTGTCCTAGAGTCCAGTGAAGCCACCAGGACCCAGAAACGGGGGACTGGGGATCTCCAGTGTGCGAGCACCGGGCCCCAGCTCGAGACGCCGAAGGGCTGCCGAGCAGTTAGGAGTAAGGCTGCGCCATGCGAGACCAAGGGGATTCTGGCCAGGAGCACTGTGTCTCCCCACTACCTTGGAGGAGGGTGACGGTGCTGACTGGAGATCAGGTCCTCCGGCGACCTGCGAGAAGCCCAGAGTCCAGAGCCGGAAGCACACGGAGCCCTCGGCAGAGTTCTGCTGCTGTTCCTGTTACCGGTGCCAGATTTGCACACGTACCTTGCACCTACACCACTGCGGCTGTTTAAACAGCTGCTCCTCTGCTTAGGAAGGTTTCCCAGCCTCACGCCTGCTTCTCCTGCGGATCAGATCCGTCTTGGAGACCCAGCGCCTTTTCTCGTCTTTCAGGTGAGAGAAATAAACATGTACAAGAGGACGAGCCAAACAGCCTACAAGCAGACGTTCCACCCCGAGCCCCTGCGGAGGTGCTGGAAAGAGTGTCTGGAGCAGTCGTCCTTCCATGCCCGGAAGCAGGCTGCCGAGGACTTCAACAGGCAGAGCCGCTGGAAGAAGAGGGGGCTCGCCGTGATCCCCATGAAGTACACCATCGGCGTCCCCATAGCCTACTACCAACAGGTGAGGCCGGGGTGTGGCCTGCAGGGACAAAGGGAGGACCTGCAAGGACACAGGGGACACAGGTTGAGGACCAGGAGAGTCAACAGCAAGGTGCTGCTCGGGAGGACCCGGCCTCGGGAGTCACAGGCACGCGGTGCGGCCCAGCTCCGAGTCCCTGCGAGGTGGGGTGGGGCAAGACGCCCTTTCTCCCTTGTCAGGGCCCCTGGTGACAGCGGCAGGGCCTCTGAAGACAGAGCCCCCAGCTCCCGGAGAAGCTGAGTCCTGTGCGGCGCTTTGGGGACTCCTGGGGCCCTGCGAGCCTCCCATAACCAGACTCTCCTGGGCTCAGCCTCGGATTCTTCTGTGTTTCTCCCCCCCCCACACCTCTGATTGTCCCCATGGCCAAACTCATGCGGGGCAGGGAATCAGCCCCGCTGTGAGGGCAAGGGGAGCCCCGACCCCCGCGGGCCCCTTGGGAAGAAGGCGCTGTGCATCTCCGCCAGGGAGCCCAGGCTGAGGACAGACTTCTGTGGACCCTCAGCAGTCAGTGGCTGCTTACTCGTTACCTACCTACGAATAACAAACATAATAACTCCTTGGAGTGCGCATGCATTTGCAAAGTCAACACAACGCTGTGAGAGGCAGCCACTCAGAAGGCTGGCGCCGAGCAGCGCGCTGGGCTGGAGCCGCGCCCCCCATTCTGGGTCCCGTCAGCGCCTGCTCGGCAGCACACGCACTGGTTTCTGTCAGCCCGGCATCAGTACATAGCAGTCACGTCCCGTGGGGAGCTGCCTCACGGACAGGATGCCACTGGACACTCCCACTTTCCCCCGCTCCCCAGCCCACCTCCATCTCTGCGTTCCCTTCCTGTTTGCAAACAGATCTTATCTAGCTTTTATTTTGCTCTTTATTTATAATTTGAGGTTCTCGTATAAGAGAAACCATGTGACATCTAGCTTGTGTGTCCGATTCGTTTCACTTAACATGATGGTCTCAAGGCGCAGGCGTTTTCCCACACATGGTTCAAGATTATCCTTCTTTATGGCAGAGTAGTGCTCCATTGTGTGTGAATACCATATTTTCTTAATCCATTTATCTGTTGATGAACATATACGATGCTTCTAAGATTTGGCTATTATAAATTGTGCTGCTGTAAACATGGGTGTGCACGGATCACTGTAAAATGATGTCTTTTTTTTTCTTTTGAATGATGTCTTTACCTCTTTTGGGAAGATACCTAGAAAGGGAGTAGCTGGGTCAAGTGGAACCTCTAGTTTTAGGTTTTTAAGGGCGCTCCATACTGATTTCCACAGCGGTTCCATTAGTTAACTTTCCCACTAACAATGCAGAAGGCCTCCTTTTCCCCACGGCCTCTCAAGCATTTGTTTTCTGACTTCTTGATGAGGCCATTCCTTCTGGAGTGAGGTGGAATCTCAGTGTTATTTAACTTGCCTTTCTCTAATGAAATGTGGGACAGGGTTAGGTCTTTGATCCATTTTGACCTAAGTTTAATATATGGTGAGAGATATGAGGCTAGCTTCAATCCTCTACATGTGGGTAGCCAGTCCTCCCAGCACAGCTTATTAAAGGGCAAACTTCCCTCCAGCATATGTTTTTGGCCCCGTGTCCAAGATCCACCGGCTGAATGTGGCTCGGGTTGTTTCTGTGTCCTCTGCTCTGTTCCCTCGATCCTCGTGTCTGTTCCTACGCCAGAACCGTGCTGTTTTTATCACTGTAGCTTTGAATGTAAGTTGAAATCTGGGATCATGTTGCCTCATGCTTTGCCCCTGCTTTTCAGGATTGCTTTCACTGTTCTGGATTGCATCTGGTTCCACATAAATTTTAGGTTTGTTTTCTCTAGTCCCGTGAGGAATGCTGTTGGTATTTTCACTGGGATTGCACTGAATTTTGTATCCGTTTTGGAAGTGCAGCCATTCTGACAATGTCGGTTCTGCCTATTCAGGAACAGGGGACACCTTTCTGTTTTCTGACGTTCCCTTCTGTTTCCTGTTTTAAGAGTGCTGTCGTTTTGTTGTAGAGGTCTGTTACTTCTTGGTCAGGTTCGTTCCTAAGTGTTTAATGTTTTCTTAAAGCTATTGTGAATGTTTTCTTAAAGCTATTGTGAATGTTTTCTTAAAGCTATTGTGAATGCTTATTTCCTAATTTCTTACTGGGCAAGTTGCTAATTGGTATACACGAACACTGTTGATCCCTGTGTGTTGATTTTGTATCTTGCCACGCTACTGAATTTGCTCATTAGTGCAGCAGTCTTGGGGTGGATTTTTGCAGCTGTGTTTATCAAAGAAATTGAGCTGTAGTTTTCTTTTTTCAGTTGAGTCCCTGTCTGGTTTCAGAATCAAGGTAAGGCTAGCTTCCAGCAATGAGTGTGGCAGTATTC